CAAACAGAAAAAAGCACTCTATAGTGAAACCGTGGCTGCTTTGGCCTTGCGGAAGTTAGACTTGTTTGTTTTTTAACATCTTGCTGTTTACTCTTCCTCAAAATCGGATCCCCAAATTATTGTCTTATAGGAGGTTATAGCCCCATGTACACAGACAGACAGCATATAAACACAAATGTACAAAGCAAATGCCTTGTGGGGGGTAAGTATTGTTTGGTTTGTAACAACTGTCTACTTCCTCAAGATGACTGAACAGGTAAAAGCACAATATAGTCCATTCACCCAAATCATTTATATTTTGTCTTCTTTTGTGTGTGTTTTAAAAAAAAAAAAATATTGTTTGGGATTCTTGTTCAGGCCGACAATAAACTTGCTTTTACATGTTCTTTATCTTAAGCGGTTGCCTTCTTTAACTTGAACTCGGTTAAGAAATTTAACATAGAAAATTTCATTTCATCAAATGCAGCAGTATTTTACCATGACTTGGCATTTACATTGCTCAGTGTATAAGTAATGCTGTCATTACCTTGGCCAGTGTGCGCTCTACAGGATGTGTAGTAACAGATGAGATGTGCTGGGTGTCTGTTCTGTCCACATATGCCTAAATTATGATGTACAAACAGCTATGTCAGATGCTTTTGTAGAGACAATTTAAGTGAAGCACGAGGGATTTGATAGGATGTGCAGAGCAGTCAACAGTGGCCTCATCAGCAGAGGTCAAGGGCCTGTGTGTTAGACAGATAGCAAACGTCAGGGTTCTGAAACTCAGTCCACAAAGATCGTTGGTTTTGTGTCTGATGGTCTAATCAAAAAGCCCTTTTTTAGACAAAAACCAAGCGAGTGTCTGCTTATCCAGATCAGTGTTTTATGGTTAAACATGTACGCATTCAGAGTACTGTGCAAAGGTTTAGGCAGGTTTGGAAACATTCTGTAAAGTAACAATGCTTTCAAAAATAGACATGTTACTAGACTATATTTATCAATTAACAAAATGCAAAGTGAATGAACAGAAGAAAAATCTAAATCAAATCAATATTTGGTGTGACCACTCTTCAAAACAGCATCAATTCTTCTGGGAACACTTGCGTGTACACTATATGGACAAAAATACTGGGACACCCCTGTCATAATACTTTTGATAGGGGTTGTTTTTTCATGGGGTGGTCTTCGTTAAGGGAAATGTAATTGCTACCCTATACAATTATACAAATTTAGTTTAGTTCTTCCAACAGTTTTAGTTTGGCCTTTTCCTGTTTCAATAGGATAATACCTCCGTCCACAAAGCCAGCTCTATTAAAAAATGGTTTCCCAGTTTGGTGTGAAAGATCAAGATTGGCCTGCACAGAGCCCTGACGTCAACTCTGTCGAAACCCTTTGGGATGAACTATACCGGATATTGCGAGCCAGGCCCTCTCATCCATCATCAGTGTCTAACCTCACAAATTCTTTTCTGGATGAACAGGAAAAAATTCCCACGGACACTCTAGCTGCAAAGGGGGGACCAACTCCATATTAATGCCTATGAATTTAGAATGGGGTATCATAAAAGTAATGTGTCCCAGTACATTTGTCCATATAGTGTAGTTTTTGTAGGAACTCAGCAGGTAGGTTGGCCCAGACATCTCTGAGAACTACCCACAGTCCTTCTGTGGATTTCTGTGAGGCAGGCTCAGTTGCTTCTCACTCTTCATGTAATCCCAGGCAGACCCGATGATGTTAAGATCAGGGCTCTGTGGGGGCCACACCATCACTTCCAGCACTCTGTGTTCATCTTCATCCTGAACATAGTTCTTAATGACTTTCGCTGTATGTTTCGGGTCTTTGTCATGCTGCAGAATAAATTTGGGACCAATCAGATTCCTCACTGATGATAAAAGGCACTTTATTTGTCACATGTAGCGAGATTCATCCTCTGCATTTAACCCATCCCTAAGGGAGCAGTGGGCAGCCACTGTACAGCACCCAGGGACCAACTCAAGAATTCTGATCTTATCTGAAAATCTGATTTTTTTTAAGCAGATCCAAAAATAAGGTTTGCTGCCAGAATTTGGGATTATTTGGACACAGAGGTGGATTAGACAAGCAGCTAAACTCTTAATTGAATGTGCCCTTCAAGTGTGAAAGTGTTTTAGTGCAAGAGATAATAGAAATTGAATCAGAAAGGTGTCTGCATTTGTTACACTTGTATTTACGGCTGTATTTCCAGGTGTTTTCAATATTAAGTGTGGCCTAACCATATTTTGCAATGATTTACATTTCTCCAATTACTTGCTTCTCTTGAACTTAAACACTTCTCTATCACCTGCTCTGCTCCAACACCTCGCCGAATCACCTGTTTGCAAATTCAAATAAAGTGTTTGTTACTTAAGTTGAGACAGTTCTCGAGTCTGCTTTTGACAGTGGTGCTAAAAATTATGACAAAAAGTGGTTTAGGAGGTGGGAGCAGGTGGCTTCTGTTGACTTGCTGCTGACTCGCCTGTCTGGAAGCATGCAGCTGGTGAGAGGTCCCACACTCAGAGGAGTCCATCTAGAGGTGTTTGGAGAGACAAACATATCAATTAGGATTGAGTCACCTGCCCCTTATAATTAGGGACAATCCCTTTTTGGAGAATAAAACGGCTATTGACTTATAACAGGGTGTGCATTTTGGAAACATTTGGCAAAAAAAAACACATTTAGGCCTACATGTTCATTTCCGTATAGTATTACCTTGCTGTAGGGTACAAGTTCACCCGTGATGGTGTGTGCTAATTGATTATTAGCAGTGGCTTTGCTCAGTGGGGACCGTGGGAGTGAGTGTACTCTAGAAGTTGAAGGTGAGAGAGTATGAGGTATCTTTATTTGGTTTTATTCATTATCAGTAATCAACTGCAGGTCCAGGAATTGTTTTCATGTATCCAAAAGCATAAAAGTATGAAGTATTTCATCAGAAAGTTTGCTTTGTCAGGGTCATCCAACGAAGGTTAAAATCAAGGGCAACTGGACTTGGTTGAAGATACTGGAAGACGTTTCGTCCCTCATCCAAAGGACTTCTTCAGTTCTGACTGACTGGCAGGGAAACTCAGCTATTTAACCTCAGTGGGATCGTTGGCCCGGGTCATCGATACCGCTGGTTCGTTAGTGTTCCTTGTTGCTGTGACGACAGTCGTTACAGTCGTTAGGACTACCTGTGGCCAAGACTGAACGACCATCGTTGGTATCTTCACCTGAGGCCAATAGGTTACGTTTGTTGAGTTTCCTGGGAAGTGATGAAAGGACAGCATTGTAAGTGGAGGATAAGTGGTGGCGTAGACCCCCTTCTCTGTTCAATGACGGCTTCTCAACCCTGGTGTAGATGGCTTCCTTGACACCTCTTTCAAACCATCCATCTTCTCTGTCTAAAATGTGCACCTGGTGGTCCTCAAACGAGTGTCCTCTGTCCTTCAGATGTAAGTAGACAGCAGAGTCTTGACCTGAGGAGTTGGCCCTTCTGTGTTGAGCCATGCGTTTGTGTAGTGGTTGTTTAGTCTCCCCAATGTACAGGTTTGTGCATTCCTCACTGCATTGGACCGCATACACTAGATTGCTTTTCTTGTGTTTGGGTGTGCGGTCTTTGGGGTGTACCAGCATCTGTCTTAGTGCCGTCATTGAACAGGGGAGGGGGTCTACGCCACCACTTATCCCCCACTTACAATGCTGTCCTTTCATCACTTCCCAGGAAACTCAACAAACGTAACCTATTGGCCTCAGGTGAAGATACCAACGATGGTCGTTCAGTCTTGGCCACAGGTAGTCCTAACGACTGTCGTCACAGCAACAAGGAACACTAACGAACCAACGGTATCGATGACCCTGGCCAACGATCCCACTGAGGTTAAATAGCTGAGTTTCCCTGCCAGTCAGTCAGAACTGAAGAAGTCCTTTGGATGAGGGACGAAACGTCTTCCAGTATCTTCAACCAAGTCCAGTTGCCCTTGATTTTAACCTTCGTTGGATAACTATGACCTGGATGACTGAGAATCTTCATAGACATTTTGTCAGGGTCATAATAATTTAGCTCGACAGAAAAGCTGGCTTGTGTTAGCACAAACTAAGTTTAATTAGCAATCATTACGCCCTTGTTTTCAGTATGTGACAATTAAGGTAGCTGGCTCGCATTACATGTTGATTATCATTCATATAGCCTTAAAAATGCTACATGTAAGACAAAAGTATCCTTACACTTGGAAGCTAAAGCTGTGCTACCACTTGCTCCTTTTGTGAACTATGCCGCCATGTGTTTTTTATTTTGTTGTTGAAATCCAGGTGGGCTGGGACTCGACATTTGGAAATTCTTATCTGGTCACATCTGGATCACCGTCATCCAACCAGCTGATGTTTTGAAATACTCGGACAGCCAGTGAGATGATTTTGATACTTATCTGGTTCAATCTGATCCAGATTACAAGTTTTGAAATACCAGCCCCGGAAAATATACTTACAAAATCCCTGACTTTGTGCAAGTGTACCTAGAAGAATTGATGCTCTTTTGAAAGTAGTCACACAAAATACTGATCCGATTAAGATTTTACTTATGTTCACTCGCTTTTTATTTTAATTGATATATGTAATCTATTAACATATACTTTGAGGCCAAGTGTGAACAACTATCATTGGCATTGTCACATGAGGCTAGATGAGATCCCCTCCTAGGAAGGGATCATAGGACAGCATTGTAGGTAGGTAGGGAATAAGTAGCTTGTCAGGCCTCCTCCCCTGTTGAGAGACGGTCTCTCTGCTTTGGTGTACATGGCTTCCTCTGGTACTTGTGATGTGAATGACCCCATAAGATAATGTTGCAGAAATACAGTGCTGTATTGAAGGCAAAGGGGTAGTTCCTCTTGATTTTTCTTGTTCACTCACACAGCACTTGTTAATTGATAAATATAATCTTTAAAAGCATTCTTACTTTAACCCCGTTTTTTTTGCCACACCTGCATACAACTTTTGCAGAGAACTGTAACTCTCGAGCAAACTTACACTGGAGGTTTAAAAAAAACATTTATTGTTATTTTCACGTTAATTATGTGGAGGCATGTACTTCATTCACAAAATAACAGTAAAATTAATCTGAAAGACAAGAAAAATATATGTAGTCTTTTTCTTACATTATCAATATATATACACACAGTAAAATATGACATTGTAACAAAAAGAAAGCAAAATGTAGCAATAAGCAAGTTATGATAGACTACATCTGCAATGTGAATACAGATGTAAAAATGTTTTTATTCAGTCTAAAAGATCACCACTGAAACTAGACTGAAATTCCTTCCTCCATTTTCACAGGAGGTTTTATGGCTTCATTTGTAAAGTTGAGACAGACCAGAGTAAAGCTAATGTTAAACATGACCCACCTGCAATAGCTGACAAACCCCGATGTCTGTTTTAACGCCACTACCCCCCCGCCCCTTTACCATGGTAAAACACATTTTTACATAAGTTAGGCGGCATGCTTCTGAGCATTAGTCCTAGACGTTTTGTATGTACACAGACATGTAAAACTCATGGCTGCACAGAAGCATTTCCTCCCAAAACGACAATATTACAAAACAATCAATTAAGCATTACAAAATACACGCTCACTTTAGTCTCGAAGCCAAACGGCCCACAGCAAGAATATAGGCAATTTGTAAAACAACAAGAAGACAGGTCCAATGTTTTAGAACCAGTGGCTGTAAGTGATGAGTGGAATGAGCCAGGCTCCTTACAGGTGATACACAATGTTTGTCTTTTTCCTTTAGCTAAATGTTTTAAGTGAAAGGTGTAAAATGATCTATACATGATCGAACATATAAATGGCTTCGGTCGTGATCTGACGGTATCTGGATCTGGAGCTAATTTGAGATCAAATCAAAGTGTGATTCTGATACTCCGCCACCATGAGTATAATCCACACATCATCCAATCACCTGTTTGTAAAGAGCGATTATAAACACAACTGGGCTCAAGATGGTCAAACATGACTGGAAGGATAAAACATAACAAGTCCAAAGAGCGGGATCTTTTTAACGCTCCCATCAGTCGTTAAAATCTGTCACATCTGTGGTACATTCTGCACAACAAGGATTACCAAGAAACACACAGTACAACACCACTAACTCACTCCACATGATAGAAACAGCTGTAAACTTGTACATCACCGGAGTCTGGTGGGATCTAGTTAGTAGGAGGCTCGTCCAGCAACTGGCCAGGACAGGATCAGATGGACATGAGCAATGACAGACATCTGGACTTTGCTGGGTCTCCCTCCAGTGTGAATCGGAAAGTTGCATATAAATACTAAAGTTCCTTGAAAAAAGAAAGCATGTTACTCATTCCTGAACAATTGTTATTTGGTTATACTGACAAAATAGTCCATTATTTAGCAGATATTCACAGGTGGATGAACAGATGAAATCAAATTCTCTGCAACTTTAAAAATTCTTCCTTTACATATATTTTTTTAGACCCTCTTAAAAGGATAATTTTGGTATTTTTAAACCTGTTTCACATCTTTTGCTGTCAAAATGACTAGTACGAACAAAACGTTCTGTGCAGTAGATGGCTTCAGCAAAAAACTGGCTGCAATGTATTGTGCCCGCCAAAAGTCCATCCACAAAAGTGCTTTTTTGCCATTGACAGACTCAAACTGTTACGAGGTGTCTGACAACACCATGGAAAGGATCCCTACGAGTAACACCCCTTGTTTTTAACCAGAAAACAGAAGTCTCGCTCAAGGACAATTCTCGGTCTGAAATCTCATAAGAGGAGGACGCTGGTGGTAATGCGAGTCACAGTTGGAGACAGGAGTACGTTGTGCGCATAGAGGAACAGCTAGCAGGACTCTCTTAACGTTACTCCAACACATACTGTTGTTAGACAGCTGGTATAACAGTCTAAGCCTGTCATTGGCAAAAGAAGCACTTTTTAATGGACATTTTGACTGGTGCAACTGTCTCTAAAGCATGTAGTATGTTGCAGTCACTGCAGCCGGTGCGCTGTTGTATCTACTAGTCATTTGGACACCAACATATGTGAAACTAAAAAACAGAAATTACCCTTTGAAAGTCAGTCACATCCCAGATGTTCAACACTAACACAAGACAGTTCAGTTACATTTTTGCACAAGCCTTGAACAGTTCAAGTTCACAACACTGAGCTGACTTCCAGAGTAGACAAGGTGAGCATAAGCTGCAGTCGACACCTCTATTTTACAGTAAAATCAGATGGGTTCAATTCACTTTCATTTCAAATTAAATACGCATGGGTCATTACCGGAAAATAATGGATATTACATATTATGAAAATATTTTATTTAATTTTGACAAAAGCGGCACCTGCAAATTAGACTGAAAGTGAATTGAGCCCTGAGCCACATGCTGATAAAGTTCAGAAAAACCTCCATCTCTGAATGAGGGCAGATAACAGGAGCATTGACGCCACCTGCTGGCCAGCACTAGTATTGCAAGGACATCATAGCCCACTACAGGCAGGTGGGACAGATGAAACTTGTATAAAATATTTCGCCACAACAACTGGTAAATAGAATTTGGTTATGATGACATTGGCCAATGAGGTTAAGATAAAGCTAAGATGTTGTAAACACTTCAGGTTCAGAGGTCAGAGCTCCTGACAGGTCAGCCCTTATTTGGCAATGAGTGTTTTTATGACATGTCTTAGTAAAAAGGTTGAGCTGTAGAAAAACAGGATGTAGACATGGTGGGTGAAGAATCACTGTTCGGCATATGAAATAATTAACGGAGTCTTAAAGAACAGGTAGTGCCGGAGACCGCACATTGCACTGTGTGAAATACATCTCCCAGGTCAAACTGTCCACTTAGAAGCAGCATGTTTTAACACAGGTTGGCTACAAAACACAAAGCCGATCTCTTTTAGTCTGTTAGTTCTTAAAAAAAAAAAAGAAGAAAAGACTGCCACTTCAACTGTTACACACACACACCCCGCCCCCAATACGCCATAGATCACATGGTCATCCAACTGTTATACCTGGGATGCTTTTTGGACATGTTTTAAAAAATAAAAAACAAAAACAAACAAACAAAAAAAACCCCAGCCCATTATGTTTGATGGACATCAATAATCTACAAAGTGCTTAATGTGCCATCTTGTGCTCCGATATCCAAAACGGCATCCAAAACCCAGCTGTTTTGCACTGGTTCAGTCCACTGAACCATGCGGTAAAGTCTTCTGTAGTCCAGGATTTGGTGGGAAACATCAGTCTCAAAAGGTGCAGAGCACAGATGCGCTCCAACATTATGAGTTACAAATCAAAGACCAAAAAGAAAATTAATAATAATCTAATTAAAAAAATAAGTCACACGGGTAAACTCCATCTCTGTGGAACGTACCGCCTTTCTAAAAAACACAGAAGAGAAATGTTCAAAACAAACACACTGCCTGTCCCCCACTCTATACTGCAGATTTGTGCCTATAAAATGAGTCCTGGTGCATCCAGGAAGCTTTTGGCACAAAAAGTTCTCTCATTAAACACCAAAAGTAGCTCATATTCCCTCCAGAATTCTTCAATTTTCTCACCATCAATAAATGCTCCAGTTGTGATAAAAATAAAAATAAACATACCCCAGGAAATACATGTGTGACTGTAGGCGCGCGTGCGTGTGTGTGTTGGTGCGAGAGGGAACCAGCTTGTATCACATGTCCTGTGGGGGTGGGAGACTTGCTCATGGCACTGCATGCAAAAATGCCGATGCCAAAGATGCATTACTGTGCCGTGATGGCAAAAAAAAAAATAAAATAAAAAATCCAATAATGCTTTTCCATAGTTACTCTGAACGGGTTCGTGGGGATGAGGTTGCGCTGGGAGGCTGTTGCCATGGTGACGATCTAAACCATTGCGTTGCTTAAGGCATCGTATAAGATGATAGAGGAGTTTCTCCTGTGGCAGAGAAGAAAAGAGGACAAACAAAACGAAGACGCTGATTACACTGAAATTTGACACGCTGTAATTGTGCAACACTTCCATGTGAAAAATCTGCACGCGAAACACATATCACAAATATCCAAACATATGGACGGACTGGCGTGGTTTACTCATATTCACCTGGTTAGGACTCGCTCTCCACGGAGATCATAATGGTTTCACTTTCAGCTGTGAAGCCAAAACAGAAGACGTGATGAGGTGACGAGTACAGGACAGTGAATTCCGTCTGAAATATTATCATCATCATCATCTCCTCTGGTAGAGCTCACCTGATTTAATGTCGTTATCAGCCAGATGGTCTCCGATGTTGTTGGCATGCTGGTTGTTGCTCAGGAGGCGGTTCTGGGACTCGCTGACTGGGCTCACAGGTACCTCGGCAGCACTGGAAACATGCCCAACAAATGAAAAATTAAAATTTATAAAAATAAAGCTAAATGCACTGTGCATCCACAACCTCATCTGAAAACAAATCCTTTTCAGAGCCTTGTATCAAATAATATATATTTTATCACACCAAGATTTATCACCTCTTATCAGGCTCTGGATGCAGGGTCACTGTAGCTTGCTCTACATCAGCATTAACCAGCCGTGCAGGGAACGTCAGACCATCTCCTTGGCTGTAGTAAATGAGGAAGAAAGAGAAACTTCAGATTAGGAGCAGAAGGTTAGATTTCCACTTGAACTACAACAATGGTAACCTGAGATGTAAAAGAAGGAGATCCACATGTAAAGGAAGACTCTATTTTTCCCTTGGGTACTGTAATGTGCCATAAACTCAGCCACTGAATGCACAAACAGGAAACAAGGTCAATATTTGGCTTAGATTCAGTATTGGTGATACAGAGCCTCTCTATCTTCTATGTTCAATTCTGCATTTGTGTCCTTTACCTGGTAAAGATAGGCAGCAGCCAGTACTTCTTCTGGTCTCCAAAGACCTGAGCGATATTCTTCCGGAAACCCAGAGAGAAGCCGTTCTTATCAGATCCCGTCCTAAAGACTGGTGCTCTGAACGCCTCTGCAGACAGAGAGCAACAACAAACACACAGGACAACAAACAACATTTCTCTTGGTGAGAAAGGACTGAAGGATCTGGGAAGAAAAGCTGTGATTTCCAAATCTGGAAATTCATTTTCTTGAACAATTCAAATTTACCAGTCCCTCCAGGATTTTGCGATCGCAACTATTAACACAAATCCAACAAAACCCTGCGAACGCAGCACAAAACGTTGTCATACCTCAGCTTGTCACAAGTAGCAGCAGACGTGTGATACCGATGTCTCAGACTTGCAGACAAACAAACAAAAAAACGTGAAATCATGGTCGAACATAAAAAGGAAATTGTCTATTGACAAACAAAAGTGCTGAAATAATCAAGGTAAGCTGGTTTATACAGGGTTAGTCCCACGAAATCCTGGAGGGACCGTTTAGTGATTCAGCTATAATTCTAAAAAAAAAAAAAAAAAAAAACCCCACACAATTTCATTTCTAAAAATGCCACAACACATCGCAACTTTCTTTGCAATTTTTTAGACAAGCTGCCACAAAATCAGCCATTTTATACAGCAACAATCCCTAAAAAGGCCTGTGAAATCCTGGAGGGACTGATTTACATCTCAAACGCTGTTTAAACCTGTGAAACCTTCTTAAAAGTCACATTAACCAACTTAGAATCAAAACTGGACAAAAACCTACAGAAAAATGTGTTTTCGAACTGGTGAAATACTCAACCCCTGTTGAATGTGTTTTACCTATAGTGGACCGGTTCTTCCCTACAAGCCACAGGTGGTAGCTGAAGAGGGACAGAATACTGATGCAGAACATGGCCGCCACAAAGAAAAGGAACAAGACGTGGAATTTGGCGTGAGTGTCTGGCAGCTCATTCTGGGGAAGAGACAGGAGGGGAAAAAAAAAAAAAAAAAAAAAAAGACAGTGAGAGGGGAGTCAAAAACAATCTTGCATTAAAGATATTTAGGGAAAGAAAGGAAGAAGAGAAAGTGGGAAAAAATAGGAAACAACAAGTAAGACGAGTGTCATGTGAACCACATCACTGCACGACAAAAACCATGGCAACGATGGTGAGGCACTGCAACACTAAAGGCTTTGGAGGATAGCTGGGTTACCTTTGGGCAGTTCTCTGCCGATTTCCTCCGGCAAAGCTTTAGTACAAACAGAAACAAGGCTGGTTAGCAACACCAGGAGAGAAAAGGTGGGAGGGGAGGAAGCACTCAGAAATCAGTAGGCAAGCACAAATCATGGCCAAGTTGGGTGAAAGGGGGGAAAATTAAAGAAAAGGAGTGGGTGAATGTGCAAAGTGTGCCCAGAATGGAGAGAACAAAGGCATGAAAGAGGAAGAAAGAGATGAAATCCAAGTGGAACAGCTATGAAAAAAAAAATAAAAAAGAACAGGAAAAGGAGGAGGTGTTTGCAACCGCATGAGTGGTGTGACTGACTGTTCTGATAGTGAAGAGGGGGACAGAAAAGAGAGGTCGGAGAACAATGACACAGTGTGCGAGAACTAGGGAGAACAGAGGGGGGGTCGAGGGGGTGAAGGATGAGAGAGGGCAGAGAAAACAGAGGAGCAGCACAAGCTCGGCGCAGGAGAGGTCAGCACCATGCGCAACCAACTTAGAGGATGCTAATCCAGGCTTCGACGTGCAACCAGATCTGCATCCTCTAACATCACACAGGCTCGCATTCGTTCCATGCCGTGTCCGCACATCGTTACTCACTGTCCAGAACATTATGAAATATTGCAGTACGGTGGCTGCAATGAACAGGCAGTACACCAGCGAGTAGGCCAGGAAGAGGATGAAAAACTTGTAGTTGGAGAATCCTACACAGTTGTTCACCCTGGAGAGACACAAACAAACAGAAGAAAAAAAGGAGTTCAGCTTTGACATAATTTCCCCTGAGCAGGAATCTTAACGTGAACTTCCCAGAGGCGGAGGCTTTGTGTTACTCTCTTGGTTACAATAGGCACATCGTGTGCTTCCTCGGGTACAAACCAGAGCAGAACGCCCTGTTGCCTTCTAGTAACGGGTTAATCGAGGTTCAAACTGCCAAACATTACAAGCAACAAATCCAATTCCTTTAGGTCTTAAAAGCAGCGTGAACACGAGTTCAGAAAGCAGTTTGCTCTTTATTGGCCATTGTGTTCGGCTTTTGCAGTATAAGGAACTGCTGGCAATCAGATCTATGCTCGTAAACCTGCATGAAGCAACCCCGTGCGTTCTGCCATCTTACCATGACCAACAAAAAAAGGTCAATAAACCAAGGAATAAACATTCATTAGCTTGACGGACCTGTTGCCAATATGCTTGGCATGAAGTGTGAATGATCCTAACTCAGGGAAGTAAAAGTAGGAACGAAATGTTAGCCGTCATATGCAGGTCTTACATACCAGGGGCAATGGTGGTCCATCTTCAGCACACACCTGCCACACACAGAAAGAATAGAAAAAAAAAAATTAGTTGACAGATTTAGAAATAAAATAAACAAAAAAAACCCCCCAACAAAACACAGGAAAAGATCAATATTGTTTTAGAGAGAGAGGGGAAGAGAAAAATTTTTAAATCACAGTTAGTTTTCAGTAAATATGTTTTTCCTCACATGTCACACGCGGAGCAGTGATGACACCGGTCTGGCTTGATGACTTGACAGCGGTCACAGTAGCGGATTGCTGCAAGACAACAGTTATCTCGTTAACGGACAGTTCCCACACAGGAAGTGCAAACAAGACAAATTAATTCACATTTGGACACGCACCTCCGGCTCCTGTGCGGGTGTACAGAGGCAGACTTGTGGCAGCTCTCCACAGGATCTCCTGCTGGGACTCGGGCCTCTCTTCCTTCTCGTAGCGCTCTTTCTCAGCCTTGGGCAGGCAGAACTGGAGTGGGGGAAAGAAAAGCAGCAAGAGACAAATTCATCAAGCTGACTTTATGTCAACAAAGCAGGCTTGTTTTGGAGCATCTGGTCTTTGTACCTCTTTGGAGGGGTTGGCAGGCTTGGTGAAGATGGTCTTCCAGTATGACCACACAAACATGATGAAAGAGAGGTGGAAGAAGATCAGGTAGACAACTGGAGGGAAACGTCAAGCAGAGCGTCAGGACCAACAACAGCATGCACACACTGACATGTAAAATAAGACTAAACACAAGCAAATTACCATTAATGACATAAAGTACTTCCACTGTCCCTTGGTATATATGGAAACACCAAACATCTACATAGTAAATTAATGAGAAAGGAAAGCTAATGCTGAATGAGGAGCTGCTTTTCTTCAAGCAGACCGGCCTCAGCACTTTGAGAGAGTACGCTGTCTGTGCCAGCCCCTTTTCTAGCAAAGTGCACGGAGCATATTTCAAACAGAAAACTGGCTCAGCCCAGTCAACCTCCATTTACAACGTATTAAAAGGAAACTGCCGATTTCCAACCAGCTTTGTATCATAACAATGCACTTTCGCCAGCTGTATGGCTGCTGAAATTTTTTTGTATTCAATTATATGTATTCAGTTCACAGACAGTCGGATCGAGGGAGGGCTTTATCATTTAATTACGGTGTATGGAGGACAAAAAGGCCACCACAGCCCAAAATCAAGCACCGCCAGCCGGTGAGGATTGCTGGTGGTGCCGCATCAAATGTTTGGGCCGCATCTGAGCATCTGTGAGTAGAGTAAGAGCAACGGCAACAGTGTTTTGTTTCTAGTGTATCAACGTTACAGTGTGAAAACATACAATTATTAACGCGCTAAAAAAATATGAGGCTTAGCATTCAAACATATGTTCTCTCATGTAGCACCAAATAAAAATATAATAATAATTGCGTCTTTCTACTGCACGGACAGGCCAGTTTTATGAAGAGACCATTTTTCCAGCTGTGAAATATTCCTTTAAATAGATATTATTTTGATTCCCAAAGACACTTACTCTGCTCTCCTTTACTGGGGATGGTGACTGTAGGAGGAAAAAAAACAAACAAACAGAAAACAATGTTAGATATGGAGGAAACTGATCTAAACAGCAACAGTCATATAGTGAAATAAACAAATCAGTGGTTACAGATCTGGCAGTGGACTAAACTCCCCCCACAAGACACAAAATGTTTATAGATAAGAATAAAAGAAAAAAATAAACACTTCGGTTACACAAAATCATTCTTGTGTTTTTCAAAAGGTCCGTTCAGTGAAGCTTTCAACCATAATCACATGACCTTCCTCCTGTAGAGGGAGTTTTTACTGTCATCAGAGCACCTTGAGGACTTCTTGTCCGCCTTGTGAGGAGATCATTTCCTCGTCTACGGATTCCTAGGTCAAGAATGAACTATTACACTCAACTTTTGGGTAAATGTGGGAAAGAAAAAAAGACCTTCAAGTGCTCAGAAAAATGGGAATTTATCAATCAATCATAATTATCACAATATAAAAAATGTTCAATATACCATCAATAGATGATTAATACGTTTGAATCACTAATGAATTTGTACTTAATTTTCTATTGAGATATTTATTTTGTTGAGGAAAGGGGACTAAAAAAAGATTTATCAATCATATTTTTGGAAAAAAGATTTTACCAGAATCGTTTTGAATGTTCTACCTCAGATTTGTAAATTAATCCACTGTATGATATCAAGTGTTTGTCACGTTCTGACCATAAAATAGTTAACCACACAATGAACCATCTGATTTCTTCAACTGTTCACCTAGGAGCAAAAATCCGCCTTTAAACTTAAAATAAATAATGGTTTCACATTTATTGTGATAATTATCGATATCAAATTGTATGAAATGTTTTTATCGTTCTAACATTTTTGGTGATATCGCCCAGCCCTATTTAAATAATAACCCTGATAACTCAGGAGCACACTAAGGTCATACAGTCTGTGTCAGTCTGGGATCAAACAGATATTTCCTCATTTGAAGGAGTCAGAAGCCAAAAACAGGCTGGGAACCACTAACCTAGTTTTTTTCCATGTAATTTCTTGACAACACATCTGTTTTAGTACACCAACATAAAACTGGACCCTGACACCAAATCTTATCCAGAGGGGGTATCTGTGATATGAAAGAGTTTGTGGACCGCTGAAATACACCAAGCTACAAATCATTCACAGTTCAAACACACTCAATTCATTTGGCTGCTCGGTTTAGCTGTTATGTTACATTTTCTCCTACTTCAATACAAAACCTCTCAAAGAGCCAAATAAACTATTTACCCGTGCCAAGCTAATTAGCAGTAGCCCAGTTCCAGGGGAGTCTGGTCAGCAGGGCAAATACAGTTTAGTTGGCATTTTAATTATCCATCCATTCAGCTCGACACAAAACAACACAGGCGAGACGGCCAGCAATATTAACAACACGATAGAAAGTTTCTCTTTGTCCAAAACACATTTTCCATTAAAATATGGCAAGCCAGAGCGATGGCAGCAAAAAGATAATTAGCTGTATCTAGATTTTGGGCAGGCTTGCCAACATCATTGTTGAGTCGCGGTCCATTTACTTCCTGCTGGCCGGAGTGTTTGTGGACAGCACAATGAAAACAGCCGCGGTTAAAGGCTTTAAAGAGGCGACGGACTGCGGCAGGACGTCTACTTACATATACAAAGCTCCACCACATAAGCATAATACGACCAGCAAACGACCAGGGCGATAAAAATCACAGGTATCCATGCTAAACCCCGTTGACAGCATCTCAGTACGTGTGTGGGCGCCATCTTTCTCCCTCTACTGGGGAGTGTCGGCGTGTGACGTCACATGAGCGGAACGAGACAGGGGATGGTCTGTAATTTTATTTTGTAATTAATTAAAGATAATTGGAATAAAGAGTAGTCGCTACCATATATACACTTTTTTTAATACCCCATAAGGCTGAACAGTATAGGCTACATGTGATTATACTACAATACATGTCACTAATGTTCTTGTTGGTCAGAAATGTTCAACTTATTACGGAATATGCTGTTTTAATAAAAAAAAAAAAAACCCATCAGGACTCCACATAGTTTATTAACGCCTTAATATTACACAAAAAGAAAAGAAAAATATATATGCCTACACACAATACCATCTTATAATTTATTCTTTTGTTTGGGGGGGCGGGGTTATGTAGCCTATTTTGTTTATTTTTATTTAATCCATTTATATGATTTAATTGCACCTGTTTTTTCATTTAAGAAAATGGGTAAAGGAAATAGGAAATATTTTTGGATCAATAAAGTTGATGTCTGGAGGAAAAAGGAGTTGGCAGATGATTGGAACATTTCACGAATGCTTTTTCCTTAGGTTGTCCTAATAAGGCTACAGGTGTTAAAAGTTCAAACCTGAATACTTGTTATGGAGCAGGAGACTTCAAGGCGGTGTACTTTGGACCTGCCCTCAGGGCAACGTCCAAATTTCATTCAGGAAGAAAACTCAACACACTCGGAAATAAACTGGTTAGTCAAAAGGCCCTATAGGCTTTAAGTCGCCGGGAAGTTGTGACCAAAAGTGAAAGTAGTGACGCGAACTCCTTTGCAAACAGCTGACGTCCTTTGAGATGGACGTGCAGACATATTTGTCGCGCATCGGGTTCGCTGGCCCGGCTGAACCCAGCCTGGACGTGCTGCGTTCGGTCCACACGTGTCACCTGCTGTCGGTGCCGTTTGAAAACCTCACGGTGCACAGCGGCGGGCGGGTTCATCGTGACCCCGCTCTCCTCTACGACAAGATAGTGAACCGGCGCCGAGGTGGTTTCTGCTTTGAGAACAACGGCCTCTTCTCCTGGCTGCTCAGCCAGCTGGGCTTCCAGGTGACACTGCTCTCAGCTCAGGTGAAGAATTTGATCACGGGTTACTACGGCCCGCCTTTTGACCATTTGATCCTCATGGTGAGCCTGGAGGGGCGGCGCTGGCTGTGCGACGTTGGGGTCGGTGTCCCGGGCTTCAGCGCCCCACTTTCACTGGAGACCAGCGGCCCCCAGGAGCAGGGCCACAGAGTGTACCGCATCAGAAAGGACACGGGGATGTGCTTTTTGGAGTGGCAGCGGGAGGAGAACAGAGGGCCCGATGGAGACTGGACGGAGCTCTACAAATTCACCCTTGAACCTCGGTATCTGGAGGACTTTGAGGAGATGTGCCAGTACCACCAGAGCTCCCCCTGCTCCATCTTCTTCTGCAAGTCCCTCTGCACGGTTTTGAAACCAGGTGGAAGACTCACCTACATTGGCCGCAGACTGATCAGCACCACGTTTCCAACAGAGGAAACAGGGGGAGCGTTGGAAACCACAACCAGGGAACTAAGAGATGAGGATATCCCGGGTGTTCTGGCAGAGAAATTTGGAGTTGTACTAGATTCACCACTCATACCAAAAGATGAGGCAATCACACCACCGCCAGTCATGTACTAATCATGCTTCCACATGTCTTACACCTCCAAAGGCCTGATTATGACATTATGTCTTCTCATTGAGATGACTGCAACCTTTTTTGTTCATACATGTTACACAACAAGATTTTAAGTCATGTTTAACCCAGATTTGAATTAAAAAAACTGATATTTACCCTTTTCCTAACATGTAAGGTGTATAAAGCTGTATGGTGTAGATAATTGCACTGCCACACCCAAATCAACCTGTTAAACAACCACCACATAGGCTACTACAGAATATATACAGTAGTACTTTGCTTGACTTGAGAACACATGCAACAAAAAAGATAAATTGTCAGTTTGATTTAATAAATTATACATACACTTTTAAGATGTACAATGGTCATTGCATTAATACATGTCTTTTCTTTTTTTTTTAAGACAAAGTCTGCGTTCAAAGTATTTACACATGTACAATTATCAGGCAGTACTTTACAAAAAAAAGGCGTGAATGACAAAACGGATGTTGAGCTCCAAATCAGACCTCTAACCCTCACCCTCATGCTTTGTTTGAGGGGGATTCCTCAGCTGTCCCGTGATTATAATAGAAGTTCCCATCCCACCTTGGATGGGTACGAAAGGGAATTCAAGAAACTGAACGACATCCGTCAAATCCACTGAGATCCACGGGAGATTCAAAAGGATTTACGGTCCAGGGACTGAATTGAAAATCAAAAAAAGTGGGGCAATGTGTGACAAAAATCTACTCCGCGACAGGGTTGGGGGGCGGCACCGAGCTTGCTCTTGCAGCTTTACGTTCATAGTTGACAAGCCTCTGTCCAACCAGGTACCTGTAAAGACAGAAGATCACAATATTTATACTACGATTCATTTTCTGACCATAAGGGCAAACTGTTAGCTCACACAAATGACCTTCAAATTGTAAAATACACTTTGGTTTCTACAGATCCGTACTTGTCGTTCTTGATGTGTTCATAAAGGCGTTTAAACTGTCGGATCTGGAAGGACAGGATGCCGATAAGAGAGACCACCATCAAGAGGAATGGGTAGATTCTCCTCTGCATCAGAATCTCCATCTCTGGGGTAACTCCTGCAAAAGCAATACACATTCTTTCAGTGTCCACTGATATATTAGTCTCTTAGTGCGGTGCTCCAGTTTGGGTCCAAAAAATCTTGATCCGAATATTTTAACTAATAAATTAATTGATGTACACATGTGCTCAGACACTCACCTACAGTGGGGACCACTCCCGCAGCGATCACATACGGCACACACAAAGAAAGCAGCAGGACCGAGATGACAGGAGCTGCCAGTTTACGGATGATGAAGTGGAGATCAATATTGCGAATACCGTTTGCATAAACCTGACATGAAAGAGTATGAAAGAGTGCAAAGTAAGCCGTTTGTTTCTTATCCAGTCAAGAGACTAAAAACTATTTCTCATTTACAGTAGTGGATACTTGCTGGTCAAAAGGAGAATACACAGGCTTGTAAGATCATTACCTGTTTAGCAAGACGAACTGAGTTCAATGTTAAAATACATCTAAAACCCACCTGCTCAATCACAGTCTTCAGCCACCACTGAGGGCCCATGAGTGTGATGGCAGCAATGATTTTGGCGTGGAGCACTCCAAGAGCCCAGTCCTGTAGATAACAGAGATCAGTGGATGAACATGGATATAAGAAGTGGTACTTATGTGACAATGGGCAAATTATAACATAATACTTAAATTACACGACAACAACACTTAACCACTAAAAGGAGAGGGAGATGGTAATACACAGAAATACCCATACCCACAATCATACCTGCCAAGGGTAGAAGAGGGGTGTTTGGTCCAGCGGTACCCTGAGTGGAGCCACAATGACCAGTTCAAACAGCAGGCCCAGTAGCAGCGGGATGACTCCAGCGACCAGCAGAGCTACAACCAGAGTCTTCAGAATCTGCACAAACAATGCAAAGACATAAAATGATGGATGAAATGACAGATTCAGGGAACAAGTGTGGTACTTTAAGTATTATACCCCTTTAATGGTAACAACTGTCCTCCTTCATGGGACAAAACTGCCGCAGCACTGGCTGAGTTAATTACTTGAGTAGAAGCTACAAGGTTATACTTCATGAAATTACTACTAGGCAGGTGCCGGGAGATTCTAGGACATCGGATACAGAGCTTGTGATGAGCAACCAACCGTTTAACAACAACATTGATTCTGGTCCAGTTCAAGATAATAAAATGGCTGGAAAGAGAACAACTAATTATCATTCCACTCTGCTGCCCAGTTTTGGCGTTTGCCAACAATACGGGCTGGTCACAGATACCCACCATGAGTGTCCACTCCTGGACTTTTAGCATGATGACGGTGCGACCCTGGGGCATCCAGGCCAGCAGCACAGTGACTCCGCGGATAGACAGCCAGCAGACATACAGGCCGCAGGCTGCTGTGTACAGCTCGTGGATTTTGGAGGTTCCTGTCCAGAAGGACATCAACCATCGCCCGGTGAACACTGAAACACACGTGACAAAACAAACGTGACCACTTTTCAACCATTTCCAACTTGACAGTGACTTACTATTTGAGCATGAACTTTAAAAAGAAGCACTTAAACAGCAGAGGCATAATACACACACACACACACACACACACACGGAAAACATACCCACTGGCATAAACACCCTTTAATTATGGTTTGGGTCTACAAAGTAGAAAATTGCTAGTTGTGCTTTATGCCAACTAGCACCTCACCTGGTAGGGTTAGGCACACCAGACTGGCCAACAGCAGAGTGACGCACATAAATGCTATGAGCAACACAATCTGGAGAAAAGAGGAGACGTATTTTAGAATAAAGGTGACTGTAGTAGCTTTGACAGATGTGACTTGGATTCTCCATTCTCTGCAACACTGTAGAAATGTATCTATACTGTATTTTATAAACTACCACTTGAACATGTAGGACAATTATAATAACAGTGCACATGCAGATCAAGGCCTCTAACATGAATGAGGAGGAATGTAATAACTGGGAGTTGAGTTGTACGGCCTCAGATGTACAGTAAGTGGTACCCACAGCGTGGGCACATATCTAATTTTGTGTGTAAAACCACAAATACTAGGTGGCCCTAGTATGTCTTTTTTTTGTAAAAGAGAGAAAAAAAAAGGTCAACATATTTAAACTACAGCTAACTTAGTTTTGTGCGTTATCACCTAGAGTGACTTGATAAAATCTGTAAGAGAATTTGCATTTACATGGAAAGACTGTAGTACAAATTATAGCTTTATTCACTGTCTGACTCAAACGTGACCTGGTTGTCTTAAATATATTTTGCAACTGTGTGGTTTTGCTTTATATCACACTAATAATGCTAATAATTAACACTGT